GGTGCTCTGGGCTGGGCAGGGCACAGCTGCCAGCCAGCGCCACGAGGGCTCACAGGGCTCCCTGTCAGCACAGCTGTGCCTTTGGTAGGAGCTGCCCCAGCAGAGTGACCCCGTGTGCCCCACAGGTACATGGCCCCCGAGATCCTGGAGGACGCGATGAACACCAACATCTTTGAGTCCTTCAAGCGGGCAGACATCTACTCCCTGGGGCTGGTGTACTGGGAGATTGCCCGCAGGTGCTCCGTCGGAGGTGAGGCTTTGCCCGTTCCCCCGGTCCCCGATGGGTTTGTGTTGGAGGGGACAGTAGAGCCCTCCCGTTGCACCCCCTGCCATGGGCACCTGCACAGTAACACATCTCCCCAGGGGTCACCGAGGAGTACCAGCTGCCTTACTACGACCTTGTGCCTTCCGACCCTTCAATAGAAGATATGAGAAGGGTTGTCTGTGAACAGAAGCTCAGACCAAGTATTCCAAACCAGTGGCAGAGCTGTGAGGTAAAAGGAATTTTCTAGTTTATTTTAGGTTCATTTTGTAGGGTTTTTTTTTTCTAGTTTTATTTTGTTATTTGTATTTTCAAGTTTAAGTCAAGACAGAATTTTTCAGTGAGAGATAGGGCACTCAATGCCCAGCTTCCCCTGAAATTTAGAAGCTTCAGATGTCTAGCTGTCCTTCAGATCAATACAGAAAAAACTCTCTGTACCAAGTGCTCGATGCTGTCCAAGGCAGCTCTTAATTGATGCTGCTGCTGTTGTGTCACTCTTTCAGAGCACTGCACTTTATCTCCCTGTATTAAAACTGGAAAGCAGGGGGTGGTGGTTGTATCTCTGGGTGTTGTTTGTCCCTCTGCAGACCCTGTCTGTACCCTGGTCCCATTTCTGCTCCCCACACCCTGTTTGTTTCCAGGTCCAGTTTCCTTCCCCAGCCCCTGTTTGTACCTGGTGCCATTTCTATCCCCCAGCCCCTGTCTGTACCCTGGGTCCCATTTCTATCCCCAGCCCCTGTGTGTACCAGCTCCTGTTTCAGTTCCCACACACTCTGTTTGTTCCCAGGTCCAATTTCTGTCCCCACACCCTGTTTGTACCC